CGCTCGCTCCTCCCCATCCTTTCCCATCTCCCCCCTTCGCTTCCTCGCTTCCTCGCTTCCTCCTTGGACCTTACAGCTGCAACAGGACCGACAGGGAGGAGAAGTCGCGAAGGTGAGGCTTGGTCCTCGTGCCCTCCATGACCTCTCGATCAGCTCGAGCCTCCAGCATCAGCCGCACAAGCCGTTACAGAGCCGTGACAAGAGCTCGAGGTCCTGTCACGAGTATGCCATGGTGACGTTGAGAGTGCGGGGAGCAGCCGAGCTGACGCCGTTGCAAGCGCTCGAGTGAAGCAGCCGCTTCCAAGACCCTCCAGCTCGGGCAAGACGCTAAGGCACCCGGCATGAGCCGTTGGTATCCGAGTCAGAAAGCGGCAAGCAGCGCGTGAGTGCCTGGGGGGAGGGGAGGAGGGAGGAGGGAGGTGGGAGTGACGGCAGCAGCAGCAGCCTCACGTCCTCGAGGAGGGTTACCTTCTCCGATCGCTTCGACGGGTACAAGCTGCCTGCTTGTGCTCGGGGCTGACGAGCGTCTAGGCAGCGGAGGGTTGGCCCGTCGTCAGGCTACTCGGACGATGGCGTGATTGGCGAGGTGAGAGGAATGGGGACGGGAGGACGTGGTTGACTGCTGGGACAGAGCTGGACAGGAAGCTCGGGGGACAAGTCGGGGGAGCTGAGGCAGTGGGAGAAGGCGCTGGAAGAGAAGGCGCGTCAGCTGGAGCTGAAGGAGCGAAAGCTCGCCCAGCAGCTGCTCCACCTCAACCACACCAGTACTGCAGGGAGATCTCGTAATGCTGGAGAGCTCGCGAACCTTGATGAGGAGGTAGATGCTGCTGCTGCTGCTGCTGCTGCTGCTGCTGCTGCTGCTGCTGCTGCTGCTGCTGCTGCTGCTGCTGCTGCTGCTGCTGATGATGATGATGCTGATGCTGATGCTGAAGAAGAACAACAACAAGAAGATGATGATGATATAGAACAATGTGGAGTTGTTCGAGGCTCGTGGTTCATTGAATTGTTGTGTCAGCGATTCGCAAGGGCAAGGGGGGAGGCATGGGGGGAGAGAAGTCAAGCAGCAGGAGGGAGGGACATGGAGGAGAGCGAGAGGTACGACGAGCAGCCGTACGAGGAGGTCTTGATGGAGACTCAAGGCAGGGAGACGAAGCGGACTTGACGCGAGAGCTCAAGGAGATGCTCATGGATAGGCAACCTTGCTTGACGCCTCTCCCCTCCTCTGATTGCTCTCCCTGCAGCGATCAGCTGGCCAAGTTCTCTAAGCACATCGGGCATGGCTCCAACAACGCGCTCAAGAACCTGCTGCTTCTCTGCATCGACGTGGAGGTGACGAGGCTGCTCGAGCCTGAGGCCTGACCCTCCTTGAAGGCCTTCCGCTACCTCACCGAGCCTGACGACATGAACATCTACGCGCACGAGATGTTCACCCAGGTTCTCCTCCTCCTCCTCCTCCTCCTCCTCCTCCTCCTCCTCCTCCTACAGCTTGCTGCTGTTCTTGCGTTTGCTCATCGCCTCGCGTGGCAGTACCTAAAGCCTGGCGCGAGGAGATGGTGTGGGCTGCCTGACAGCGCCTTGAAGGAGTTTCAGGTCGCTGACTCTGCTGCTGCTGCTGCTGTTGTGCTTACGGTCGCGTCAGTCTCGCTTCACTGATGGAGGAATGGACACGAAGATGTTCGATAGAGTTCAGGTAGACATGATGGCGATAGATAGAGATGAAGAGAAGGAGGAGGACGGGAAACGGGAGGTTATGGTTGTGATTGTGGTGACTTTGTTCTAGACGTTGTCCTTCAAGCATCTTCTGCCGGCCTTGGCTGAGTTCAGACGAGTAAGAGACACATGATGAGTGTGCTTGTCTCTTTATGTACATGATGACGCTGCTCCTTTCGTATCCTCGTCTTGTC